GCTTGCTAGTGCCACTGCTAACATGCCTCTCTGCTCTGTGCTTGCTAGTGCCACTGCTAACATGCCTCTCTGCTCTGTGCTTGCTAGTGCCACTGCTAACATGCCTCTCTGCTCTGTGCTTGCTAGTGCCACTGCTAACATGCCTCTCTGCTCTGTGCTTGCTCTCTACTCACTGCCCTCCCTTCCCTTTCCTTCCCATCTCTACAGCGGCCCCTGTGCGCCCTGCCCTGTTACAGAGCGCATCACATGCTGCTTCTGTGTTCCTTGCTCTACTGCCCAACGCTAACGCGCCTCTGTTCTGCCAATGCACCTTCTCTCTCCCCCGTTTCCTCCTTTCCCTTCCCTACAGCGGCCCCTGTGCGCCCTGCCCTGTCACAGTGCGCATCACATGTGGCGCATTGCCTGCTTCTGTGTTGTTCCTTGTGTGCCCCTGCTTCTGTGTTGTTCCTTGTGTGCCCCTGCTTCTGTGTTGTTCCTTGTGTGCCCCTGCTTTTGCTAACATGCTAACACGTCTCTCTGTTCTTCCCCGTTTCCTCCTTTCCCTTTTTTCCAGCGGCCCCTGTGCGCCTTGCCCTGTCACAGTGCGCATCGCATGCTTCTGTGGCACCACTGCTTTTTCCGTGAGTCGCACACTCTCCCTGCTGAGTGGATTCAAAAGGCTTCAACTCCGCCACTGCTTTCCATACGCTGCCCGCTCAATCCCCCTCAATCTTCACATGCTGCCTGCCTTGCCACTCCCTACCACCCCCACTTCACATGCATGTCTCTCTCCCTCCCTGCTCTACACGTCACTTCCCCTGTGGAACGGAGTGGAGAATCAGCTGCGCCCTCCCACGTTGAGGTGTTTATTTAGGCGCTGCTGATTCCCCCTCAATCTTCATATGCTGGCCCGACACCCCCCCCTCACTCCTCCCCGCCGCTCAGGTCCCCTGTGGAGCGGAGAAGCAGCAGCGCCCTCCCAGATGCCACATGCGCTGCCCCGTGCCGCCCACATGCCACCACGGGGATTCCTGTCGAGTGAGTGACTCTCATGCGTGCATCCTCCCCATGCGTGCATCCTCCCATGCACAGTCGCATTGATGTCCCTTTTACAAGGCATGTCCCTTTTACAAGGCATGTCCCTTTTACAAGGCATGTCCCTTTTACAAGGCATGTCCCTTTTACAAGGCATGTCCCTTTTACAAGGCATGTCCCTTTTACAAGGCATGTCCCTTTTACAAGGCATGTCCCTTTTACAAGGCATGTCCCTTTTACAAGGCATGTCCCTTTTACAAGGCATGTCCCTTTTACAAGGCATGTCCCTTTTACAAGGCATGTCCCTTTTACAAGGCATGTCCCTTTTACAAGGCATGTCCCTTCTGCTTCAGCCCAGGCGACAAATACAAGCCCTTTCACCCCGTTTTGCCATCCCCTCTCTTTCTTATAATCACAGCCGCATCGCTGTCACTACGGGGCGTGTCCCCCGTGCAGCCTCCCCTGTGGGAAGCCCTTTGACTGTGGCCACTCCTGCCCACTCAGGTGTGCTTCATTCCCCTCAGGTGTTTTTTCAGATGTTCCCTCAGGTGTCTTTTCAGGTGTGATTTGATAATCATCGGATGGTTACAACACTGGTAATCTCCCCCTTCCCCCCAGGTGTCACGACCACCCCCGCCTGCCTCCCAGCCCGCCCTCCCCCAGTGACTTTTGAGACGACTCAAAACCCAGCCCGCCCTCCCCCAGTGACTTTTGAGACGACTCAAAACCCAGCCCGCCCTCCCCCAGTGACTTTAGAGACGACTCAAAACCCAGCCCGCCCTCCCCCAGTGACTTTTGAGACGACTCAAAACCCAGCCCGCCCTCCCCCAGTGACTTTTGAGACGACTCAAAACCCAGCCCGCCCTCCCCCAGTGACTTTTGAGACGACTCAAAACCCAGCCCGCCCTCCCCCAGTGAACCTTTAAAAAGGAGAAAGAAGAAAGGGAAGAAGGAGGTCAAGGAGGAGGATGATTCGATGCATCGAGAATTATGAAAGTTCCTTCTCACTAATCTTTCCTCTTTCCTTTCTTCCCCTTCCGTCCCCTTCCGTCCCCTTCCCCTTCCGTCCCCTTCCGTCCCCTTCCCCTTCCGTCCCCTTCCCCTTCCGTCCCTTCCTTCCCTTTCCTCCCTTCCCCACCAGATGTCACGGCCCCCGCCCGCCCCCCAACCCACCCTTCTTCCTTCAACCGCCCAAGAAGAAGAAGAAAGGGAAGAAGGAGAGCGAGGAGGAGGAGGATGGTTCGATGCTCATACTCTACCAAGGCCTCTATTCATTCCTCCCCTCCCCTCCCCTCCCTTTCCTTCCAATCCTTGCCCACCAGGTGCCATGGCCCCCGCCCCCCTCCCAATCCGCCCTTCTCTCTTGAACCGCCCAAGAAGAAGAAGAAAGGGAAGAAGGAGGGCGAGGAGGAAGAGGGGCAGGGGAAGCCAGGGTCGCCGTGCCCCCCGTGTGTGGTGCCAGTGGTGCGAGAGTGCAGGGGAAGACACCAGGGGCAGGAATGCGAGGTGGGTGTTTCTAGTACCCTCTAGGGGTGTGGGTGCCTAGAAAGGAGGAGGGGCAGGGGAAGCCAGGGTCACCGTGCCCCGCGTGTGTGATGCCGGTGGTGCGAGAGTGCAGAGGGCGGCATGGGGGGCAGTGATGCGAGGTAAGTCCGTGCCTCTAGTGGAGAATCAAGGCAAGCAGGGGTCGCCTTGCCCCCTGTGTGTGGTGAGGGTGCCTGAAAATGGATAGTGGCGGGAAAGCAGAGGTTGCCGTCGCCTCCCTGTGGTGACGGTGGCGCGAGAATGCAGAGGGCGGCATGGGGGGCAGGAGTGCAAGGTAAGTGCTTCTAGCCTTTAGGGGTGTGGTTGCCTGGACGGGAGGAGGCATAGGGGAAGCACATTTGACAACCAAAAGAAGATCAACGTATTGAAGCTTTATATTGTGGTTACATCCGTATGGATCGTTTTTCGTATGCGCACTGTGATGCACAATTGATGTAGCGAGTACCAGCATCTCAACTGGTACTCGCTACATCAATTGTGCATTACGGTGTGCTTACAGAAAACGATCTATACTGAAGTAACAACAATCCAAAGCCTCAATAAGTTGGTCTTCTTTTAGTTGTCAGATGTTTTCCAACTTAATGCAGAATGTAGTTGAAGTTGCCCCCTGCGGGTGGTGCCAGTGGTGCAAGAATGCAGAGGGAGGCATGAAGGGCAGGAGTGTGAGGTGAGTTTTTGTGAAGGGAAGTGCAAGTGGCATAAGGGCAGGAATGTGAGGTGAGATTCGTCAAGGCAATAGGAGGTGAATGGGGTGAGGCAGGCAGTGAGGGAGATCGAGCTAGTGAGGTAACTGGAAACTTCTGGCGGGAAACTTGCTTTCTGCTTATCTTTTGCTTTGAAGAGGAGTAGCTGTGTCCCCTGTATGTATTGAGACTCTTTGAAAACTGTCATAAAATGTTTCAAGAGGTTTCAATAAACTTGGGACAAGTTTAGAGTATGATGAGTCGCTGTTTCCCCGTCTGTGGTGAGTCACTCTCATGGTTTTTGCATGCCATCACAACTTTCTTCCATCCGCCTTTCAGCCACCCACCCCGCCCCATCCTCCCGTCCTCCCTTGCCCCCCCTGCCTTTTCCTCCCTCTCCCCTCTCCCAGCTCCCCTGCTCTCATGGGAGTTACCATGCGGGAGCCCCCTGGCACCCTATAGCCACTCGCGTTAACGTTTCTGTTTCTCTCTTTGCCTCTTTACCCTCCCTCTTCCCTCCCCTCCAACCCACAACGTCCCAGCTCCCTTGCTCTCACGACCCTGCCTTCTCTTGCGAGCTCCCCTGCGGTAACCCTCTTGCATGCGGTAACCACGCATGCCAGCTGGCATGCCATGCCATCACCCGCCCGCGAACTGCAGACGGGCAGAGAGTGCTGGTGGCAGGGGGGGAAGAGGAGGGGGAGGGAGTGAGGGAGGTGGAGGAGGGAGGGGAGGAGGGGAGGAGATTGCCTCGTGACGCATGCTACCCTTGCAAGCGACCATGCCAGAAGGTTGGTTCCTCGCACACTCCTCCCTTTTATACAGTCCACCACTCCTTTTGCCTCGTGACACGTGCTACCCTTGCAAGCGACCTTGTCAAAAGGTTGGTCCCTTGCATTCTCCTTCCTTCCAAACCTACGCACGTAGGTATTCAGTGCCATAAAGAAGCATATTCAGCCTGTACTGAAGCAGGGAGAGGAGTATTTGGTGAAAGTCACTTCAAAGCCGAAGCTAGGGGAGATCCTGGGGCTGTTGTTTAAGACATTTCACACACTGCTTGCTGCAGCTGCCATGCGTTGAGGCTTTCCTATCTCTCATGCGTTTTCAAGAGTCTGGTGAGAAAAAAGAGAGCCTCAACGCATGGCAGCTGCAACAAACAGTGCGTGGATTGTCTTAAACAACAGCCCCAGGATCTCTTCTAGCTTCGGCTCTGGGTTGACTTCCACCAAATCTTCCTCTTCCTGCTTTAGTACAGCCTGAATATGCTTCCCTAAAGCGCTTCTCAATGTTTGTCTCATTTTCTTCAGTTGCAAGAATTCAGTTCATGAGGTGACATAAGATACACGAACGCGAGGTCCTACAGGTCCTCCTTTTTGGATTCAGTTCAGAAGGTGACGTGCGCACTCAAGACTCTAAGATGCCAACTGTTCATATGTAGGATGTCATGCTGTGAACTGTACAGAAGTAGGACGTTGCGATGTCAACTGTAAAGACGTAGGATGTCGCGATGTCAACTGCACAGACATAGGACGTCGCGATCGAGGGGACACACAATGTGTCAACGTTTCAAGGTTCTTGTGAAATTCACACACAAGCAGTCCTGTTATATACCATCTTCTTTCATCCACTATCCCATGTTTTTCTTTCCCTGGGCAGCCCAGGGACCCTCCATGCGCGCATCCCTGCCCGGAGCCATGTCATCCGGGCAGCTGCCCACCTTGCAAAAACCTTTTGAGGAAACGGTGCTACTGCGGCATCATGACCCATGCGATTGAGTGCGGCCAATGGGGTGCCGCCAAGGAGGCAGAGAGAGTCAAAATGGTTTCTTGCACGGGGCCCTGCCATAAGTAAGTATAAAGGCTTTGCCAGCTCTATAGTTGAGTTGTGGGTTGAGTATTGTGGCAAGCAATGAGAGAGGCAGAGAGGCTCAAGATGGTATTTTGCACATCGAACACAAGTGAGGGAGCCTCAACGCGTGGGCCCACAAGTGAGTGTTTTCTTCCTTACTTGTTCTTTGTAGTTAGGGTGGGCCCATGCGTTGTTGATGTTATTCAGTGGTGGTTTCCTTGTTGAGGCTGCTAGTAACATTAGCTGCTACTACTAGGAGTGGCGTGCCATTGCCACCATGTCAACATATGTTATACTTCCCTTTTCCAGTGCTGCGATTTGCTTATGCATGGTGGCTGTTCAGTCGAATCACAATCAACACTCCCTTGTAGTTTCTCCCTTGTAGTTTCTCCCTTGTAGTTTCTCCCACGCGACAGTGACCTTGCCATTGTCATTGTTCTTTTTGCGATTTCCTTGCACCTTCCAGGAAGCTGCCATTCTGTTCGCACATGTGTGTGGAAATGTGCCATCCCGGCCCCTGCCCCAAGCCAACGCAGTGCCGGAAGAAGGTGGGTTGTGTGTGTGCGTGCGTGCATTGCACGTATGCATGCTTGTATATGTTGGTGCTACTGATGTGGGTGAACTATCCTGACCCCTGCCCCAAGCCAACGCAGTGCCGCAAGAAGGTGGGCTGTATGTGTGGGCATGTGTGCTTGTGTGCATGGTTGCATGTGTGCTGCTGTTCGCACTCGCACATGTGTGTGGAAATCTGTCATCCTGGCCCCTGTCCCAAGCCCACTCAGTGCCGCAAGAAGGTGGGTTGTGTGTGCATACGTGTGTGCGGGTGTTCACGTGTGTGTCAGCACATGTGTGCATGTGTGCATGTGTGCATGTGTGCATGTGTGCATGTGTGCATGTGTGCATGTGTGCATGTGTGCATGTGTGCATGTGTGTATGTGTGCATGTGTGCATGTGTGCATGTGTGCATGTGTGCATGTGTGCATGTGTGCATGTGTGCATGGGTCCACGTGTGCATGTGTGCATGTGTGCATGTGTGCATGTGTGCATGTGTGCATGTGTGCATGGGTCCACGTGTGCATGTGCACAATTGTGCACCTGTGCTTCTGTTTTATATTATCCTGGCCCACCGAATGGACCCCCCAGAGTATTTTTTAGACGCCTCAAAATTTTGTTCATGCTCATCCTGGCTCACCGAATGGACCCCCCCAAAGTATCGCTTATTTATGCCAGCGTATTATGCGCTGGCTGGCGTGTAATACGCAAATCGCGTATAACCCAACATAGCCTCATGCATGCGTCCGCTTACACTTTCCACAGGTCACGGTGCGCTGTGCATGCCTGCGCCTCAAGAAAGAGTGGCTGTGCTCCCAAGTGCAATCCGAAACTGCCAAAGCTGCTGCCAACGGTGCAAGCAACACCACCAGCAGCGCAGACAGCAGCACCAATGCCAGCAGCAGTGGCGGGGGCAGTGGTGGTGGGAGACTGCGAGAGTCAATGGTGGGGGTGGGGCTGATACCATGTGATGATGAGTGCCGGCGCATTCAGGAGGAGGAGAGGAAGAGGAGGGAGGCGGAGGAGAAGCGCGAGGCAGAGAGGAAGGCAGCCGCTGCAGCAGAGGCGGAGAGGCTTCGACTCGAAGCAGAAGCCGCGGTGAGTGTGGATGGTGTGATGTAGTGTGTGCGCTTCATTGTTTTTCATCACATGCCATTTGAAACCTTTCCTCTCGTTTCTACCTTCTCTTCTGTACACGCTTCGGTTTCAGGCCTGATTGCTTCGTTGCAGTTTCTTAGTCGACTTAAAAAAAAAAAACTGTTTATTTCTTGTGATTTACCATGAGGTTCTAGTGTTTGAGGTGTGTGAGTGTGTGTGTGTGTGTGTGTGTGTGTGTGTGTGTGTGTGTGTTTTTTTTTTGTAAAATGGTTTAGTCATGGAATGTGTAGCATGCTATTTATTTTCCTTTTAGGTAGAGATAGTGCTGCATAAATTGCTGATGCCTCTCGCATGCATGGGCATGTTCTTTCGCTTCTTGCATTGACATGAACTGGTATGGTCACTGCCACAATTTAAATATGGTATGGCCATGGCATGGGATGGCATGGTATGACATGGCATGGCACGACACGGCACGGCACGGCACGGGACGGCATGGCGTGCCATGGCATGGCATGGGCAGAGGGGAGCACGCAGGAGGAGAAGGAAGACGGCAGCAGATGACGACGACGATTCCTCTTCCTCTCTATTTGTAAGCACACATCTTGACTTTTAGTATGATACGGAATCACGGGCACAGCACAGCTCTGGGCGAGGGGGCCCCTCGGAGGAGACAGACAAAGGCAACAGAAGGGAATGAACAACAAAAGCAGAGGGAAGCCAGTCTGAGGCATTTCTAAACCTCTTCGTAAACAGAACCATGAGGTTCAAGTAAAAGAAAAATGTCTTCTTTATCTATGGTGTTGAACCTCTTCGGAAACAACAACCATTGTCTGTTTTACAGCACGAATACTATTATTCTTATCATTCGTGTCTCCTTCTGTGATCTTCTGTAAGGTACCGTAAAACAGTAAACAGCATCATAAGGTTCAACTGGAAAAAAATGTTCTTGCAGGTTTTTACGACTCTCCCTGTGCTGATGGGCTGTTTTGGTTTGAGATAACTTGTTGCCATCATAACAACTAAACGCTGACCCATCATCGAGGCTCATTTGTGCTTCCCCCACATGCTGCTGCTGTTCATTCCCTACTCTCTCATCATCAGGGGTTCATTTCTCCTGCTGTGAAACGGTGGGCTATCATCATCACTCTCCTTTGCATCCTCCTGCAGTAGCTGATCTGTGCTGGAGTGCGCCTCAAGGCTCAAGGTGCTTGCATTGGTCTTTCGCCTCCCCTCCTCTCACTCATCTCATCTCCCCCTCTCCCTCTCTCCCCCTCTCCCACCCTTCTATCCCCCCCTTTCATTCGCCCGTCATCAGGGGTTCATCCCTCCTGTCATCCCTCCCGCTGTGCGCCGGTGAGCCCTAATCATCACTTCCTCCTCCGGCTGCCGCTAGGGTGGGCCTCAAGGCTGAAGGTGCTTGTACTGCTCTTTCCCCTCCCTACCTCTCACTCATCTTTCCCTCTCCTCCCACCCCCTCCATTCGCCCATCATCAGGGGTTCATCCCTCCCGCTGTGCGGCGGTGGGCTCTCATCATCACTCTTCTTTTCTTCCTCTCCCTGCTGCTGCTTGCTGCTGGGGTGGGCCTCAAGGCGCTGAATGATTGGATGAACGAGCGGGACCGCCTTCGCCCTAGGAAGTCGTTCCGTTACTAAAATTTAAGCCGTATGTTGCATTCTGTTGACACTCACTTTGACTCTCGACTTGATCAAGGCGTGAAAATTTCTCAAACAATCAGGAAAGTGTGTTCTACAAAATTCATGAAATGGTAAGTCTAGGACATCTTATTTGAAAAACCTACCGTCATCGCCCGGATATAAGACATATATGTCTTATCTCGTACACGGGCAAAAATGCTTGAGTTATCTTGTAAACGGGATGGTTTAGGGTGTCTTATAAGTCTTATAAATGGACAAAGAACCGTTTAGAAGATACCCCCTCGCTATACATTTGCCCCTAACTCCTACACTTTCTTAACCCGTACACACAAATAGGTGTCTTATAATGAGGCTAGCCTGTTTATAAGAGACACCCGTATAATAGACAACCCATGTCTACTATTCAACACTGTCTTATATCCGGGCGATGACGGTATGGTACATGTACACATGCTCACATGTATACACATGTGCGCACACATGCGCATGCATACACTTGTACACACATATCCATATCTTCGCCAATTCACGCGTTTTAGCAATTACACTTTCAAAAGGACAGATTGCTGTGCACGGTTATTAGCTGTTTTGGCCCGTGGTAAATGAAAACCTCACTAAGCAGCAAAGCATCTAGTCAAAACATTACACGCCGTTACAATGACTGTCAAGAGGTCCACTGGAGATCCCCGATTGATCCTAGGGAAGGGTTACAGGCACGTTGGCCTGGGGGGTTATGAGCGCACTCACCCGCTACACAAACAAGCCCTTTTATCCCAGTGGTTAGTGGCTGGGATTCTAACATGGTATCAGAGCGAAGGTCTCGGGTTCGAATCCCAGTGTGTGCACCTCGGGCATCCCAGTGCGGGGGGGTGTCAAAGGTCCACTGGAGATCCCCGATTGATCCTAGGGAAGGGTTACAGGCACGTTGGCCTGGGGGGTTATGGGCGCACTCACCCGCTACACAAACAAGCCATTTTATCCCAGTGGTTAGTGGCTGGGATTCTGACAATGACATCATCACATAGGTAAGTACGAATTCTTTAGTCACGCCTTATTGACGCCTAGTCGTCGGTCACCTGGAATCTTGCGGGTCGTCCGGAGTTCGCATTCTTTCGTGGGAAATGCAAGGACGCGGATTCCGCGAGGTGCGACGTTGCGACCCCATGTGCGCGACGCCGTATGTCAAATCTACTCTGTTTAACTCCTTAACGCAACGGTCACTTGACCTTTACGTTTCAAATCGTTAAGTTGTAAGTCCCAGCTGAAGTAATATAACCTGCGGATAGAGTTATTGAGTCTTACCAGTCTTTTGAGTATACCCTCTTGTTAAGGTACTAGGACTTCGAGGTTATGGCACGTAGGACGAGTGACTCTCTCATATGGGAGTTGAGTGCTGTGAAGAGGGAATTGGCGTTGGTTAAGCGTGTTAAAATCCTAAGCATAACCTAGGACTAGGAGCCTAGGGTTTTAGGATAGAACACAAGGGTTGGCCAAAGAAAGGGGGGATTCACTATGGGAAGGCAAGTACAAATAGGAGGAGCAAGACAAAGAGGTGCACCACCAATGTAACACTACACTAACTACTGCTACAAGCAGTTTATATAAGAAATATATTTCAACAAAGCGGGAATTGTCGGAGTGGAGGGATGATGCTGAATTCAAGGAGCTGAACGAGGATGGCCGACTGGATCGGAATGAAAGGGGACAAAAGAAAATACGGAAGGTATATAATGCAGACTTTTTTATTCTTAATTGTTGGTTCACTTCTTCACAAAACACCACACATCGTGGACTTAATCCGGCACTTTTTGTCCTCCTAACATCGTCGTACGCTTCTTTCAGGCTATTCGTGATGCACTGGGACAGGGAAGTTTGTTCCTGGAATTCTGCAGGATCTCAGACCAAATCCTGCTTGAGATATCTGCCTTGACCCATCTGAAGAGTCTAACCTTGGATGAGTGTTCAGGCTTCACCGCAGAAGGTATTAAGTGCCTCTACAACATCATAGGACTGGAAATGCTGACTGTCAGAAAGAGTGTGATAACTGACGAAGCTTTGGAAGGCATTGGCACATTGAGCAGCCTTTTGAGTCTAAAGATTAGCTTCAGTGAGATGACTGACACTGGACTAGTTAATTTTGTCGACCTTCCTTCACTCAAATCCTTGGACCTTCGAGGCTGCAGGTGTCAAAAACTATAGGCAGAAACAAGAAACAGGAAAGAGGGGTTTGCAGTAGCAGGCAGTTGAGTACATATAGGAAACCCTAATTTGGGCTATACTCGCTATAGAGTACCCCACTGCAGGCTAGACAAATATCACATTCTGACACACCCCCATAGTCAAAGTGGGGTATAATCAGCACAGCAAGCAGGCATAGAGCAGGTTCACAAGTACAAGCAAAACTAGAGGCAGTCACAGAGGGCAAGTGAGGAGGAGGGACTGTGAGAGGAGTGGAGATAGGAGGCGACGGGTGAAGCCGCAGACACACGGGCAACAGGAGCGGCGCGCACGGTGGCTACCGGTGGCAAGGGCCCCGGACTACAGGAGTACCTGGCTCCGCGGCTAAGACGAGCGGCAGGAGCAACTGACCCACGGGCGACTGGCGCAGCAGGCTCGCTGGGCTACCAGTGGCAAGGGCCCCGGACTACAGGCACTGCGGACGACAAGACGGCTGCCTCCACTCAACCTCCCCCAACTGTCCCACACCCCTTTCACACACCCCCTGCTGTACCCCTAGCACTGCTCACACGCCACCCCCCTAGTACCACTCCGACGGCTCCCACACATCCAACCCCTTCAGTGGCAGCTGCAGCAGTGGGAGATGGCGCACACACCCCCAGACTCGCCACCCCCAAACCGTAACACAGGCAGCACGGGGCGGCGCACCGGGAGCACGGGGGGCGCGCGCAAATCCCCAGGGCGGCACGTCGGGAGCGTAGGGGGCGCGCGCGGGTCCCCAGGGCGGCGCGACGAGAGCGCAGGGGGCGCGCGCGGGTCCCCAGGGGCGACGCGACGGTCGACGGGGGGGGACGCGCGGGGTAGGAAAACGCCGCGCGCCTCGGGGCGCACGGCGGGCAGAAAACCGCCATGCGCCCCGAGCGCGTGGCGGGAAGAAAAAAAAAAAAAACGTCGCGCGCCACGGGGCGCGCGACAGACAGGACAGCAGCGGAAGCTAACGGTGGGCCCACAGGCCAGGAGCGTAACCGCTCTGATACCATATCAAAAACTATAGGCAGAAACAAGAAACGGGAAAGAGGGGTTTGCACTAGCAGGCAGTTGAGTACATATAGGAAACCCTAATTTGGGCTATACTCGCTATAGAGTACCCCACTGCAGGCTAGACAAATATCACATTCTGACAGCTGGCGCCTTACATCGGCTGGAATGGTCCACGTGGGAAGGATAGAAACCCTGGAATGGCTCTTTTTGGGCGGCATCAATGTCACATCTGACAGTCTGGTGCATCTGACACGGCTCGCGTCCCTCATGAACCTTGATTTGGAGAGGACTAGCGTGACAGATGATGGGCTGAAACACTTATCGCCTTTGACTGACCTTGAGTGCTTCCTATCTCCATATGGGATTACCGATGCTGGCATAGTGCACTTGAGGCATCTCACGGAGCTGAGGCTCATCTGGTTGAATCATGCTCAAGTGACTGAACAAGGAGTGAGATGCTTGAACTCCCTGCCCAAGCTGGTTAGTGTACTAACCAATGTTCCTAGTGTTCGACTGGCAGTCAGATCTGCTCTATCGTTTGCAGAGGATAGTGACTCAGACACGCAGGAGGAAGAGAAGGTTGAATACGTTTTGAAGTACAGAGGTACGGATATCACAAGGCGTCAGTCAACTTGGCAGATACTGTATGCATCATGGAAGTGAGTGAAGCACTGTAGTGATGTCCTAGTGTTTGGCAGTTGATTGTGGAGATTCAAAGCAGATTGGGAGTACCATGTTGTTCCTAATTAGTGCCCTAGATATCAGCCCTTTTACGCTGATTCAGCGTTAGATCAGACTTTTTTTTATACACTAGGCTGAATCCAAAGTTTTTTTATATGTACCTTGGCTGATTTTTCAGTGTTTTTTTTTATACCTTAGCTGATTTTCCAGCCTGTTTGTATGAGTGTAGGCTGAGCACCTAGCCTTGTAGGGGGTGCACACTGAAACCGGCAAACAGTGAAACCTCCACCACCCCACCACTTCCACACGAAACTTCCCCCAGCCCCCCGTGTTCCACTCGAATTTCCCTTTCAGTTCCCGTGTTCCACTCGAATTTCCCCTTTCAGTTCCCGTGCTCCACTCGAATTTCCCTTTCAGTTCCGTGTTCCACTCGAAATTTTCCCCACCCCCGTGTTCCACTCGAATTCCCCCCCCAGCCCCCGTGTTTCACTCGAATTTCCCCCCCAGCCCACGTGTTTCACTTGAATCTCCCCCAGCCCACGTGTTTCACTCGAATCTCCCTTCAGCCTGTCAAACTATAATACTTGGTTGTCTGTAGGCTATAGTGGGGTAGCTTACATGGGGTACAACACTTTCTAGGGTTTCTACCTGTATCCCAACTTTTCTTAGTTTCACTCATTCTTGGCTTAGATTCTCCACATGCTATCAGAGCAGTAGGTCCGTAGGACCGTTTTTTTAGGGCCCACCGGTTACCACGTTACCCCACGCCCTACCCTGCCCTGTACCGCCCGCGCGTGCCGCCCCTGCAGCTCGCGCACCGTTTTTTTTTTTCCTGCCCCGCGCGCTGCCTCTGCTGCACCGCGCGCAGCTCTTACTGCCCGCGCGCCGCTTTTCCTGCCCCGCGCGCCGCCCCTGCAGCCTGCGCGCCGCTTCTCCTGCCCTGTTCGCGGCCCCTGCAGCCCACGCGCTGCTTCTCCTGCCCCGCGTGCCGCCCCGGCAGCCCCGCGCGCCGCTTCTCCTGCCCCGCGCTCCGCCCCTGTAGCCCGAGCACTGCCATTTCCGGCCCCGCGCGCGCCCCAGCAGCCCGCGCGCCGCCC